TTACAATTCCCCAAATTATTGTTTATCATACCCATTTTACAGCGAGAAGAGCTTAGTAAGTGGTAGACCTAAGAGTCAGGACTGCATGACTCCTTTACCTTAAATCACTGTTTCTCATTATGGGAGGCAGTGATTTTGGGGGGACAGGATTTGGTTTTGAGGGGGTTTTTTGTTTTGTTTTTCTGCAGTTTCAGCAGTGCTCGGGAGTGGCCAGGGCTACATGGTGGGCTTCAGGGTCTGCTTTCTTCTCTCCTGACTCCTTGGTGTTGCTGTCCTGCAGAGTCTATACAGGACACATACTTGCCATGGCACCCAGGCATAGACTTTGCAACATCAAAAGTCAGAGGTGAAAGCAGAAAGATGACAAAATGGTGCTTTGTCACCTTCCTGTGCAAGAGGGTGCAGCTTCCATTGAAGATATAGGAATGGCTGGCTTGGAGGGGAAGCAAGAGCCTGAGCCCATCTCACCCAGTGCTGGAGACAGACTGGTAGATACCTTTGTTGGGAAGGGGACGGTTCACTGGCTGAGGACCAGATGTAAACATGGGGCCACAGAAGACTACCGTGGTGGCCAGCAGGTGAGCCAGTTTTGAATGAGTCACTTCAGCTTCTGTGGATTTGCATACTTTTTTTCAGTGAGAGAGGGTAAGTGTATGAGGGTACATGCTAGACTTCTCCCCACACCTTTCCACCTTTAGCCACTCTTTTTTAATAGAAAAGAGTATGAAATCTAATGAGCTAGGGACTTCAGCAAGATGATCTTGGACAGAGCTTCTAAAACCGGGTTATGAGGGGAAAGAGGTTTTTATTGATAAGAACACAAAATGGGCCAAGCTCAACCACCAGCTGATTTTGGCATCCTTCTGAACTTCAGTTTCCTGATCTGTAAAATGGGGAGTGTAAGCTTATACCTCACAGGACTATTCTGATATAAGTAAGTGAAAATATTTTACAGATATTAATGTACTACTCAGTTCCAAAGACTGTTCTGTGGAACACCAGTACTGCAGGACTTTAATAAGGGTTAGGTAGAAAGAGGCTGTCAAGCAACTGCTGAGTAACAACGAATTAAACAGATGGTTCTTAACTGCTTTTCTGAGGGGAAAAGTATATGCAGGATTCCCCACATTGACCTCTTTCACAGAGGGAATATGCTTTTGGAAGCACAAGACTAGGCAGTAAGGATAATAGCCAACATTTATTGAGAGGTACTGGATACCAGGCACTGTTACAAACCCCTTTACTCATAGTGTCTCATTTAATCCTTGCGATATCCCTAAGAGAGCACTGTTATCATCTCCATTTATAGATAAAGAAACTGAGCACAGCCCTGACTGGTATGGCCCAGTGGGTTCAGTGTCCTCGTGCAAACCAAAGGAAAGGCCTCCATTTTGATTCCTGGTGAGGGCACATGCCAGTTGGGAGCGTGTGAGAGGGAACCAACTGATGTTTTTCTCTCTCTCTTTCTCCCTTCCTTCCCCTCTCTCTAAAAATAAATAAAATCTTTTTTAAAAAAGAAAGAAGGAAACTTGGCACAGAGAGAATAGGTAAGGATTACAGAGTCAGTAAGTTCAGAACTGAGATCCAAACACAGGTGGTCACGCCCTAGAGCTCACTTATTTAACAGCCACACTCTACTGCCTCCACTAAATACGGTGACTGTTGGCTGACATTATTATTATTATCCCCAAATAAGATAATATCAGAAGTTTATTTATGAATTATGTGTTTATTTGCTAGTTCAACAAATAATTTGTCAGTCACTCATTTATGACCAGGCACCGTAGTGCCTGGGGATACAACTATGGAGAAGATAGTCACACTTTATGTCCTCATTGAGCTTTTTGCCTAGTGGGGAGCATGGCCAAGTAAACAGGTGATTGCAATAGCATGTAATGAATACTGTAATCAGGAGATGCCTAAGGTGCTGGGTAGCTCTTAGAAGTAACTACCTCAGACTTGGGAAGAATCTCTGGAGGAAGTGATTTCTAATCCGAGGCCTAAAAACAAATTGGAGTTAGTCAGCTTAAGGCATGGAAGAGGGGGAAATGTTCCAGGCAGTGGACTAGTATTTGCAAAAGTTCAGAAGCCCAAAAAAAAGCATTTAAAAGGAGATATAAGAGGTGAGACCTCAGATGTAACCAGGGGTCCTCCTATGATTTGGTAAGAGTTGATCTATGATGTTGGCACTCTGGTGACACTTGCCTCTGAACTGAGTAGCCCCAGCTGTGTTTCTTGCGTTCATCTGTGTTTTATGGTAAGCACCCTATGTATCTCTATAATTGCACTTGTGAAACAGATTATAATTTGTTCAGTGGTCTGATTCTTGCATTAGACTCTCTTATTCATTAGTGTATCTATCTCCGGCAGCTACTACCATGCACTGGTTCTCATTAAATGTTGTTTGTTGAATGAATCATTTTTTCTTTGTAAGGTAGATTACACCCTTACTGCTTTCTTGAACCAACTATCACTTTTCCTCAGGTTCATCATTATATCCAGCAGTTCATGTCCTATGTGGCAATTCAGTGGTGTCCTTAGGAGCTTTTGAGGTGCAGTATTCTGTGAATTCCTTTTTAGCTTTTTATTGTGCTCTGTGCTTTTCCCTCCTTGCCTGGCCAGCACTTGATTGTTATGTCTGCTTGATTATGAAGTCTCCTCCCAACCTTCTTGTTTTCTTCTAATCTGCAGTAGCTGGAAACAAGATCACTCACTATGATTTGAAAAGACTATTTGCAACTAAGGGTAATCTCTGAGTTGGGTCTTAAAGGGCTCTCTTATGGGAAAAATGCAGATAACATTGCATATGGAACTTGTATATTGGCTACGCAGAGGTCTTCCTTCTGTTCTCCCTGCTCCAGGAGAGGTCAGATAATATTCCAGGTGTGGGAAGGAGGAGGTTATCAATCTGGAGAGCCTCTGTCTGGCTCAGAATTGCTGATCATCCACTGATTTCATTGACCATGAGAGAGTGTGGTCTGTACTCAGCTACATACTCCACCAACTTTATTTTGGCCAAACATTGAAATGCTTTCCAGCTGAACTAGCTTATCTGGATGCTAGCGACAAGCCTCAGGCTGTTTCCTCTTAAGGCAAGTTCTGCAGAAAGTAGTTTGCACCTTCACCTGAGCAGGGGAAAAAAAAGAGAATAAGAGCCAATGCTGGGACCAGACATCTGGGCTCTGAGCTCCTTTCTCTGGGATCCAATTTGCTTATTTGCAAAATAAGGATAACAGCATGATATCGGAAAAAAAAAAGATTAAGAACTCAGATTAGAGCTGGGTTCTAATCCTTACTCACCACATACAGGGGTTAGCAAAAGTAGGTTTACAGTTGTAAGTATGCAAAACACAGAGTTTATTTGTGTATTATTTATTATTATATTATTTACTTGTATTTACAACTGTAAACCAACTTTTGCCCACCCCTGTAATAGCTGGGTGACCTCTGTGCCTCAGTTTCCTCTTTTATAAAATTAGAATGATAATCCCTACTATTATAAGGTAGTTATGAGAATTAAATAAATTAATTGTGTGAAGTGGGCAGGCCAGGCACGGAGTAGAAAAAGGTCAGTAAATGAGATCTGTTAGTATTAGGAGGAGGCATGACAGTCTTCTGGCTTTTTGAACTTTAATTAGGAAGTCTAGTTTTGCCAAAGGGGAAAATGTGTGGATGCCATTCCAAGACCATGTAACCTGGAAAAGAATGGTTTAGGAATTGCCTGGTGCTTTTGACTACCTAGGTGAGGTTACCTCTTGAGTGAAATACACCCCCGTACCCACTGGGGGGGTGGGGTGAGAGGAGCCTACCCCTTGCAGGCCCTGTGCTATGGGCTAGTAGAAAAGGGGATTCAAGTAGATAGGACCCGAATTCTACCTCCAATGAACTCAGTTCAGGAGGAAACATAGCAGTTACTCTGGAATTGAGGCAGAAAGAAACCCCATCACCTAAGCAGCACAGCTGTTACGTGAGATTTCAGTTTCCAAGGGAGGACCCCAGAGGAGGGGGAACTTTCAAATTTATTGTCCAGATTGGGACTATCTAGGACAACAGGCACAAACCAGTTTCATCCCGGATGTGTATGGTCACCCAACCCATAAGTTCCTATAAAAGTGATAAAACTGGTTTTAGGTTCTTTTAAATGAAATGGGAGAGGGAGAGTCACAAGTACTAGCCCTAGAGTGAGCCTGGGGGTTTTGGTTCTTTGACCATATGAAATGCTTTTTGTCTTTCCTTTAAAAACATGTTTACAGTGCCTTTTTTAAGGGTTTAAAAAATATTACAAAATTGCAACATAGTAAATTTTTGTAGGATATATATGCATATATATATAAAAGGATATACACCAAAATATTAAAGGCAGTTTCTCAAGTTGCTGAAATATTGACCCCTTCTTTGTATTTTTCTGTAGTTTCAAATTTTTAATGGCTTTCATAAATTAAAAAAAGTTCTTTACAAAGTAAATACTCACTAGATTATAAACATCTTCAGAGCAGAGGGACATATTATTGTTCTGCAAAGAACAGCCTCTGCCTCTCACCCCTCTGTTCCCCTTCATCTGGATGACTCTTCTTCACCCTTCAAAACTCTGCGTTTCTGAGATCTTCTCTTCATGCCCAAATTGAGCTAAGCTCCACTCTGACTTTCTCTATCATCCTGTTAAACTTCTAACATAGTATTTATCTCCAGTAATACTGTAAACATGTATTTGTTGTCTGTCTCCTTTGGATTAGGTCAGATGCCATGTCTGATTCACTTCTGTATCCCCATATGAATCCTAATACATAATAGATGTCAGTAAATGTTTGTGGAACTAACTGGGCTGTTTTATCTTGTCTTGCCCAGCAGAGATTGCCAGGCACATAGTGGATGTCGTTATATGTTTAGTAAATAGGTAGATGAGAGAGTGAGTTAATTAAAATGCCACGAGAAAGAAGGTGAGGTTGGTGGCTCAGGACATTTGTTGCTAATAGAGGGATTTGTGTTACTGTCCCCCCCAGTCCTGGTCACCCGAGAAGATGACTTCAACAACCGGCTGAACAACCGTGCCAGCTTCAAGGGCTGCACAGCCCTGCACTATGCTGTCCTTGCCGATGACTACCGCACCGTCAAGGAGCTGCTTGATGGAGGTGAGAGTGTGCGTGAATGGGGCAGGGGGTTATCAGGGAGAGAGATTTGACACCCTCTCCATTCTGGAAATGCCATACTCCCCCAGAGCCCTGTTACCCTCACAGAGCTGGAAATGCTTTGAGGGTGGCTGCACTTAATGACAGTGGTAATGTGCCCACGGAATTTGCCCTTGTATGTCTGTAATGTGTTCTTTGCCTACCTGTGTGTTATGTACCATGCCATTCTGCTTGTCTGCACATGCTCTGAGAGTTTGTTTATTGCACTCCCCAAAAGTGTCCTCTCTTCTCCACTTTGACCTGCAGAGCAGGGCTAGTGGAACAACGGAGAGGCCCTTAAAATCCCTATTAACCCAGATCTCAAAGACATCCTCCTTGATCCTGCTCCACCCCAGCCTAAAGTCATGCTTGTCACAATCTGAAATTGTTTTTGTGTTCAGTAGCCTTCTCCCTAACTTGAATCTGAACTCCCTGAAGTCAGGAAAATCATTCCCAGCACCTAGCATAGTACCCAGCACACAGTCAGCACTCAGTAACTATTTGCTGAATGATTGAATACCCTCCCTTTGGAGAGCATCAGTTTAAAGGGAGGGAAAATATGTACCATCCCCAGGTTCAGGCAGGTCTGGTCCTGTCCGAGTCTGGTTCAGTTATCCTCCACCCTGCCTGTTACCCCCCCAAGCAGTCACTTTGCCTCCTGCTGCCTTTTATCCCACTCCAGTCTCTCCTTGGGATAAGGAGGGATGCCTCTTTCTAGGTAGGATGTAGGTAGGATGTGTGGTACCCAAGCCCCTTTTTATGGCCTCTGTGCTACTTTTTGAGGAGCTAGAGACCCTCTTTTGGGGTTGGACACCCACCCAGGTCCTACTTGTCAGGAGTCATTGTTCGTGGAACCCTAGATCTGCAAGGGTCAGCAGAGGTCCTCAGAGGTCGTTGAGACTACCCGCTGCTTGGCACAAACCTCTCCAACAGCTGGCTGGCATTTATTTGGATATTGTCAGGGACTCCCTGGGAGTCCATTCCATTTTAGGTGTCCATTTAGTCCACTTCTTCTTTGACTGCTTGAAATAGCTTTTTTTAAATGAGCTGTGATTTTCTTTTCTGTAACTTTTGCCAACTGTCCTCTTCAGCCTAATCACTTTTTCAAAATACAGTCTTCAAAGACAGCTCTTTTCACCCGAGAGCCTTTGCCTCCTTGGCCCTCTCCCCCCAGATCATCTTCTAGCCCTTGCCATGTGATTGGGTTGGAGGAATTTCTTATTAACCCTCAAATCCAGCCACTCTTGCTTAAGTCCCAGTCCTCGCCCATATCCCCAGCCCACAAGGGACCTGCTCCAGAATGTGCCCGGAGCACGTACATTGTAGTAACAGTGCCTGGGATGATTGATGCTTTTGGAGCAAGACCTACTGCTCTCAGAAGCAGAGACTTAGGAAACGTCCCCAACCAGGATGCTTCTCACTTTGTCCTTTGGAAGGTTCTCCGGCAAGACATTTGTAGCTAAGAATTGGAGCATTCACCAAGGGGCTTCTCCCTGCCATGCCTTAAAATCAATCAATACCCCCAAGCCATTGTCCAGTGGTTTACATTCTCTGTTTCCTCTAAGCCCCCAAATAGACAGGGAATTCACTCTAAAAAGAGACCCTCTCTCCAGCCTTCCAGATCGAACACCTTTGAAATGAAGAGGCACAGGCCTTTTATGAAATGCCCTCCTCCCCACCCCAGGCCAAGGCTGGCCCTTTGAACCGTTTCAGGGGCATGGTTCCTGCCTGTTGACTTGGAACAGATGCCCGTAGCCCCCACTTTTACAGTTTGCCCACCTGCCTTTTTACCCAGCATCCATTTACATCCCCCGCCCTAGCCTCCCAGCCTCAAGGGCCAAAACCATTAACCCATTTATTTCTCCCTTCCTGATCTAAACAAGTGGCCGTCATTCAGGGCCTGCAGGCCAGCCAACTTCTGACCTCCCTCCCCCCTTGACCTCTGTTGGTCAGCCTGTGTGTGTGACCAGCCAACCGAGAGGCAGGATCCTACACCCTTGTCCCGGGGGCTGTTGCCAGTAACATTTCCAAAGTCTTCTGACCTCAGTTGACCTTACCCAGGGGTTTCAGAGAAGGCAGGAGGGTCTGCCTTCCTTATATCCAGCTTTCTTAGCCTTTATTTGCCACCGGCTTTGCTTCAGCAAAAGAGAGGAAAGTGCTCTCTATGAGATCAAGGGGCCAGCCTATGTTCACAAAGTCTACACAGAACCCTTGTCCTTGAAATTGCTTAGTCCACAGGGACTTAGGACCCACAGATCTTAAAGGGTTAGAACTTGAGGGGGCAGCTATTCTTGGCCCCATTCTGACTAGCAGTCCCTATATGAGAGCTGGGTGGAAGTCCAGGCAGCATTATCAGTATGATAATGTGGGAAGTTCTCTGACCCCTTAGGAGGCAGTATAGAGTATTAGAAAGGACATCTTCAGAGTCAGGCCAACCTGCGTTTGAATCCCAGCTCCCCTACCCTACTACAGTATTGCCTTTGCCTTGGACATATTACCTTAACTTTCTAAGACTCAGTTTTCTTATCTGTAAATAAAACCTGAGAAGTATGATAGTGATAGCATGAGGGTTAGTGATGACATCTGTAAAAGCCCCTGTTCCATGCTCCATGACTGTATAAAGAAATCAGACTCTCACCGGACAGCTATGATCCTGTTTCTTCTTCATGAAACCTGTAATCTTAACTAAAGGCTTCTTAACTCTGTTTCTGCCCACAACACCTCCCTGCCCCCCTGGCCACTTCCACCTAAAACACCATGATGTTCTCTCTGTTGTCATCTAGATCCTCTGACTCTTCAAGGCCTCCCTTTATGAGGAAGCCTCATCTAGTGGTCTGGTCCGCTCTGAGAGCACTGTCTCTGAACTCTTACAGTGTTGGGCTGGGTGCTTAGCTCATCTTCAGGAGGCTCCTGATAAAATGAAAAGAACACCAGCTTGGGTTTAAATCTCAGCTCTATAATGTGATTCTGGGTAAGCCCGTTGCTGTCTCTGAGACCATGGACCTCAGGGCATCCTAGGTTGGATCAAGCAAACTGTCTCTGACCCGGCGAGACTCGGAGACCGGTGGAGGAGACAGATGCGGAAACAGGCAGTGACCGCTGGACGAGTGCTCTGGCAGGGGGCTGGACAAGGGGCTCTCAGGCATGGGAGAGGAAATACCTGCTTCTGCCTGGTGGACAGAGCGGGGGAGTCAGTTACAGAAAACTTCCCAGAGGAGAGGATGCTTAGTTTTATCAGGAAGTGTAATGGGAGTTTGCCAGACAATTTTTATGGAAAGGTTCTGAATTCACTAATGCCAATTTTCTACCTCTGACCTCCACAGAAAAGTAAGTGCTCAGGGCCCTGTGGTTTTCATCTCTGAAAACCTGTGTTGCTGGCTTGGAGCAGGAATGTCCTTCTTTAGCACTTGAACTGCCAAGTCCAAGAAAATGTTGGAGGGATGGAGAGAGGAAGAGGCAGGATGGCTGGGAAGGTGGGGAGCCTCCTTTAAGCCCCTGGAACTGACTTTTCCTAATAGTTCCAGGGCTGTTAAGGTGGATAGGATTCACTGCCAGATCCATTTCCTAAAACCTATCTCTAATCATGACAGCCTTTCTGACCAGGGTTCCCCCAAAGAATTGAGTCCAAAGCTATAAGGCATCCACTGAATGCAAGGAATTAGCTTTTCTCCCAGGTGTCTGAGATGGTACTGCGTTACTCAAATAATTTCCCATATGTGGTTCAAAGGAGAAATCTCAGTTGAGAAAGGCTGCAAGGAAAGAGCAAGAACTGTGGAGTCAGGATCTGAATACCAGCTTTGCCACTTCATAGCTGTGTGGTCCCGGGCAAGCAAGGACCACTCTGAGGTTGTCTGTCTTCACCTGGAAATGGAGTGTGATACCACCAACCTTCTAAAGTTCTGTCAGGATTAGGACACATATAGGTTCTACAGAGTAGGCACTTTATATATAACATCTGTTATCAACTTCAAAAACACTCAGTGCTCACTTGTTTAAAAACAAATAAATAAAAAAGAATCCTACTCATTCTAACTCTTTAACCCGCTTTTAGAGTTGTCCTGGTCTGGTCCTCCACGAAACTGTTTCCCCTAGTGCTACCCTAACTCCTGCCACGCTGCCATGTCAGTTCACTGTTCCCACCTCAGTGCCTTTACTCTCTCATTTCCCTTGGAGGCTTTGTTTCTAAGCCTGGTGGAATTCTTTCCGCCAGTCAGTCTGAGAGCACTGTCTCTGAACTCTTTCATTCTAATGCCAGTTTCCTTCTAAAGTTTTCCCAGTTCCCTGGAATTTGCGTCTAGTCCCCCCTACTAGACTGAGGTAAATTGCAGTCCAGGACTGTCTTTTTTGTCCCTGCCTCCTTTGCCACAATGCCCTGCACATAGTTTAGTTCATGTTTGGAGACCCTGATAAATCTCTGTAGCCACTGGAGATTTGGGTATCAGGGCAGATGTGGTATCGTTGCTTCTTGGCCCACTTGCTCTTAGTGTCAGTGTATCCTGTTTTTTAAGAGCTTCACCTTTTTGCTGATATCTTCCTTCTCATTATAGTCTTAGTGACACTCTTTTCAGCCACCAGTGCTCATCACCTCAGAAACACTTGAGATTTATGAAACCTAATAGCACTTTCCCCAGGGCTTCCCTTATCCTCTTTCCTGCCTACTTTTCATGGCTCTTCCTTGCCCCCCTTCCTTGCACGTGGCTGAGTTGTCAGTGTTAACTAGCCACCATCAAATGAGTCCTTAAATTCCCCACCATCCCTGCCTGAGGCAAATAGCCTTTCCAGTGCTGACATCCTCCTTTAAGAGCCTGTTAGTTTGCTGTCAGGGCTTGAAACTTAGGGTTCCGTTTCTTGTTCCACTTCACCGTCTGTCCATCTGGCTGTACTACCAGATGTTGGAGGAATCAGCTTTGCCTCCAGCTGTCCTCTGTGGAAACTTCATCCTCTGAGTACTGGCAGCAGCGCGG